TGGTAAATCATCCAAAAACACCTCTTGATATTCTCTTATTACAGGTATATCTTTCAACTCTTTAACTTTCTTATTTGTATCCTTTACTTGAGGAAGATAACACTGACATCCCTTGGATACAAATTTGTATGCTTTCAAATAAGTAATTATCATAGAAGAAATTCCACTCTCACCATAAAACTTCAATTCTCTTTCTTCAGGAAATTTAAACTTTGCAATCTTCTTGTTGCAATCAATAATTACAAAATGCCTTGATAACCAAACCATTCTCAATATCATATCAAATTCTTGCAATGATAAAACATTCATTGTGGCTTCAAACTCTCTTTCATTTATTTTGAAAGTCACTTTACATACACCTTTCACATTCATAAACGATCCATATGGTATTAGAACTTCCAAAATTACATTTGTCTCATAAACATTTAGTCCAACTGTCTTAACAAATTCTTCTGAAATAAAGGAGAGTGAAGCTCATGTATCAAAAAGAATCCATACAGGCTCTCCTTGTATCATGACATAAACACATCATTCTTTTAATAACACTTTCATAATATATATTCATTCACTTCTCATTTTTATCACATGTAATCACTTCAGGTGAATCTTTAACATCCTTCTGAGTTAGTGCATATACTCTAGGCAGAGTATTCTGTCTGCTTTGACTTGATCCTGGAGTACAAGCAACTGATTCTACTGTTCTTGGTCTTCTAACATTCCTCTGAAATCCAGTATTTATCTTTGACTCTCCTGTTGGTCTTTGCCCCAAAGTAGGACAATTCTTGGCTATATGACCTGATTTATGACACCATAAATAAGTATTTGTACCAGATAAATATTATCCTTTATGCTGTCTTCCACACTTACTGCAACTGTTTACACTTGAGCTGTCACTGTTACTGGACTTAGTTGTCTTCCAATTAAATTTCCCACATTGTGAAATAGACTTGTTATGCTAATTCTGAGGGGCTCCCATAACTTCACCACTTTTCCTCTTCTAAAAATCACACCTTCTTTGAGTATTTTGCAGGTTTGCTTCTATCCTTCTATCTCTTTCCACTAACACTATATAATCTTCAATTCTAAGAAGAACCAGGGGTTGTCTAATTGCATCCTTCAATCCAGCTAAGAATCGGTGGCATTTATCATCCATTGTGTTTACTAATTGAGGAGCATATCTTGCTAATATTGTAAATTCAGCCTCAAACTGCATAACTGATCTATCTCCTTGTACCAATCTCATAAATTTATCCTGCATTTGCCTCCTCGTAGAAGGAGCTACGAAACAATCCCTGAACACCTGAGTAAAATAATTCCATTTAATTTGCATGTCAGGGATTCCTTCAAATTTGTTTTGATGCAGACCTCTCCACCACCTTTCAGGTTCTCCTTCTAGTGCAAAGGTTGCCAAGGAAACTTTCCTCTCTTCCGGACAATGCATTCCTTCTAATATATTTTCAATCCTCAGCAACCAATTTTCAGCCTCTATTGGTCCCTCTACTCCCTTGAATAATGGTGGTCTCATATCCTTAAATAATTTCAGATACTTATCCATAACCATTCCACCACCGCCACTACTCCCCGATGGTTGATTTCTTGAATCTTGAATCAACTGAGTCACAGTTATCATCATTTGAGCCAATGCATCAGGATTAATATTAATATTTGGCATTGGTCTTTCCACTTCTTCTACCTCTTCCTCTTCTCCAGGATCATTTGATTCCTGTTATCAATAAGATATTCATTTTACATTAAATTTTAAATCATTAATAATCATCATAATGGCTCTTCCAATACGATTCATATCTTAATTGAGCTCTGATGCCACTTTTGTCACGACCCGGCCCGGATGCTTGATCTAACAAGGCGGGTACGAAAAGTAGGATGATATTACATTTCCATCAATATAATAATATCTCATCATCATAAACTTTTCTATTAACTGAAGAGCCACTAATAAACAAATCATAAATTACATGTTGTTATTTGCACGCCGCCTTCTATAGACAAATTCTTATCTTTCAGCTATTTCTTTATTTATGAACTTACCTGAAACATTTAAACTCGTGGGTTGAGTTTACTGAGTAAACTTAGTAGGCAACTGTTTAATAAGCTTTATAATTAATCTTTAATGGGCATCATAACATTTCTTAACATTAATTCATAAACTTTTAATATTTCATTTATATTTCCTTTTCCCCATTAATTTGTACAGGAGCACCGTCTCAAAGTACACAAAGGTACAACCTTTTTCATTTATTTTCCTTTTCCATTTTCATGAACTTTTCCTTTTTCCTTTTTTTTTCCTTTTTATGTGCACGAGTACGCGCGTCCCCAGCCAGTACTATAAGGGGGTGAACTCCTGTAGTTTTTATATATATCCTCTTTTTTTTCTTTTCCCATTTATTTTGAACCTTTATTATTCAATGTATATGTCATTTCTTTGTATGCATATTTTCTTACTACATGCCTTTACTTGTACTATATAACATTCTCTTTTATTCATATTCATAATTTCATTCATGTCAATTTATTCTTTCATTTTCAATTGTAATAATAATTACAATTATAAAGACAGTTAATCTTTCAGCATTTCATATATATATATAACCTTTTTAAAATTAAAACTTTGAAAGTAAGGAATAATACTAAATTTAGAATTTCATAATTATAATTACCCACTTTAAACTTTTCAGGCCTTCGATGCTTGATATAACCTTGAATCAATTTCCTTTCTTCCTGTTGAATCCTCGTGGGATCAACACTTACGACTTGATCTTTCACTTTATAAAACCTAAATTTATACAATGATTTTCATATAAAGATAAAATTGTGATTCAATAACAAGATATTAATAAAAATCAATCTAAGAAATTCACTTACAATTGAGAATTTCTCAAACTCCTAAAATCCTTTCTCTCCCAAATTCCTTTTTCTTCGCTTCAATCTCTTCCTTATCCTTCAAGAAACATATCGTTCACTTTAAACAAAGTAAAGGAAGAAAATTATACAAAAAACCGTAAGAAAATCTAACAAAGCTTTTTCCTTTTCTTTCCTTGTTCGTTTCTCTCGTTCATGAAATTTCTCTCAATTTAGCACTTCTGTAACGATAAGGATGAGAAGGAATGATTAATTCTTATCCTTGAAGGAGATCTTTTGCTAAAATTGGAAAACGAAACTTACCTCGCTCTCGCACGAAGCCCTCGGTCGTCCACCCAATCCTTTCTGTTTCTCTGCTTGCAAATAGCGACCCGCCCTGGGTCGCGGCTCTTAATAAGAGACGGGTGATCGGTTCGGTTGAACCGGTCCCCAACCGGTCCGTTACATTAAATCCTCTTGCATTATAACACATACTATACATGCCATGATGAACTCATTTTGTAAGTGGTTCCCTACAATGATTGAGTTATCAGAGCCATTAATCATAGATAAGAAATTTTCACCACTAAAGCTCCTTGGAAGTGAGGAGGGCCAACATAGATGAGGTTCCTAATACTACTGTAAGGTAAGCCTTTTGAAAATTTAATAAGAATTTAAGTGGCGCTTATACAAACAAACTTATGAGTGCTCTATATCTTATTTGCTATAGAGATTGTGATGTTTATTCAATACAAATATCATATATTAGACTTTAAATAAAGATCTTCTATAAGTTCTTTATGTAGAAATAAGATATGTATGGATTTATTTTTTAAACTATGTAGATCATAGGTTCATGGGTAGATAGCAAGAAAATGATTTAATTTAAATATCCTTGACCATTTATTTATTTTACGAATGATGTGCAATAATTCTTTTTATTAATTCATTTGATTCAATAAATGATATATGTTCAGTTTTGCTATATTATAGTTGTTGTGATTGCACTATGCAATATCAAATTTATAATATGTTATTTTTTATTACAATATGTTGATGCAAACCTATAGTTTGTTGTGTTATTTTTTCCATGATTGATATATAATACGTCAAACTTATATTATAAATCAAAATATTGTTTCGAATCAAAATGTTGTGACTTTCAATCAGATAGTAAAGGAATGTCATTGAAGGAAGTTATAGCAAAGTCAAACAATAACGATGGAGCCAAAGAAGCGATTCTGATTTTGTGTGCCGAACAGTAACGTCGTCGAAGGAACAACGAAGACGAACAACCGAACAACCGAACAACAATGTCATAGAAGGAACAACAAAGTTGAACATCCACGCAACGAAGTTGAACAACAACGACGAAATAGAGAAGATGAAAAGTAAAATCTGGACGCCTCCTAATTTAATCGAGCAAAAGTGAAGTCGAACATCAATGTAATCAACTAACAATGATGGAGCTGAAGAAACCTGCTCGACATATCTGTTACGAAGATACCGTGCCTTTTGATCTAATAAGAAGGGAACATCGTTGAAAGAGTGAAGTCAAATAGCAAGGAAGGGAGCCGAAGCTACTGGTGCAGAACTCTACCTTACGCGAAGCACATAAGTCTAACAGGCAAGAATGACTGAAGAAATGAAGATGGTTCCCACGAGCTTCTCTCTCGCCCTGGTGATTTCCTTTTTGGGTGGTTTTACTTTACGTGCAAAATGAACTGCAACATGGAGTTCCTAATATATTAAGATTTTACATTACTTTATACTATATCCAACCAAACATCAAAATGTGAAAATTAATGCCTTCCTTTTACACTGCAATTCTTTTTCCTCCAACCAAACAACCCCTATATACATCAATAATCAATATGTGAACACAAGATGAGTATGTTTGTTTGAAAATTTTTTTGAACATATTTCTTCTAATTAATAGGGATACATGGCCACTTATGCCTATTAGAAATTCAACTTTCTCTTTATATATATTATGAGCAGGCAACATTTATAGATTTTGAAAATCCTGGAGAAATAAAAATATGGTATTAATGAACTAATTTGAATGAACTTTTTTTTTTTTCTTAATTTCGAATAAGTCATATAAATTCATGATATTCGACATATGAGGACTTGTACTTTCTTGCCCACTCACTATTTCTTCTCTACTCTCGCAACGCCGGCTCTCCTATATGGTTCCACCTCGTCTTCTATGGCCTACGCATTCCTGGAAAAGTCCAACGGAACCCGAGAGTTAGGGTCTTTCCCCGCGAAGAGCTTTCGATTCTGTCCGCCATTGGTGTATACCGCCCGATTTCAAAGGAAGCAGGCACGCACTCTACCTGGATGACATTAATGATGTTCGCCGGAGCTTGAAATGTCGAGGCTTGTCAGTTTCTCCTGGAGGGTCTAGGGCTTCTTCAGTTGATCTCTATGGGAGTGGAATTTCAGGGGAACTTAAACCTCCCGGATCTTAGCAAGTTCTCTTCGCCGATCCCAGGCTTGGCTTCGGCTAAAAAGTGGATTCGCCAGAGCTGTGTCTCACAGAAAAGAGTGACTCCTCGGTATTTGATCTTTGGATCGGTGCTCTTTGCTCTGGGACTCATCTCGCTTTTCACTGGCCATATTGCATCCGACATCGAATGGTCCAAGTTCCGGCGGTATAGACGGGTAGGTTTTACGGAGGGCACAATGATCCAAGCCCCGGTTACTTTCAGCATGATTTTTCTTCTACTCAAATGCTTTCTCCCTTGTTTTTTTCCTTATTGCAACAGCCTGATGGCGTAGACTTTCCTCAATTACCATGCTTATAAACTTTGTCGTAAATATTATATCACTTGTCTTTAGATTTCTGAACCGCTGCACTGCTATTTAAAAGCCATTGAGTAGGTAAATTGTTATAGTCTGTTCTGGATCCTTGATGAACCGTCAAGCATTTGGTGAAATTTCTGCAAAAGGATTGACATATTCTCTGCAACTTCTGGATATATCATTTACTAAATATTTGATATTTCTAAATTCCAGGAAGAGGAAGAAGGAGACAGTAGCAGTAAAGCTTTAATTTCCTGTTGTTTAGGTTTGTTAGATCAAGGAGCAGCCTTTTAATAATGATGTAGATAAAGAAGATCAGAAGAAAATAAGCTACTCAAATTTGGTTGTCGTGATTGGTGCGCTTTGGAATATTTTACCAAAGGATTAGGGCTGTTTATTTAGTTTAATATTCGAGAACTGATTGTCATTTTTTAAATAGTTTAGGCTTGTTAGATCAACTAGTAGCTTATTATGAATAATGCAGATAAAGAAGTTCTAAAGAGAAGTGATGTAGGCAAAGGGGGGGTCAAAATATTTTGGGTTTTTTATTTTTGGTGAGCTTCTATGACCTCTACTAAATTCAGCTTATTAATGTCTTTAGGATTACTTTTTAAGCTCATTAATTGTGTATTTATGTTGGTTCATCCCCCCCCTCTCTAAAGGTTCTTAGGTTTCCCCACCTAGCTCCCCTTCCCCTTCCCTTCGCCCTTCAGTTTCTTCCCTGGCTCCCCTGTCCCGTGGCTGGTTCCTCGCCTCTCCTAGTTGCCTGTTCCGTTTCCCTGTAAAGCCCGTCCCTTCCCTGGCTGCTGTCCCGATTTTCCTTGTTGCTATCCTGGTTCCTTGGGCTGTTGGCTCGGTACGCTTGGCTACTTTTTCGGTTCCCTGTGCTGCCCCTTCGGATCCTCCCCTGGCTGCCTATCTTGTGGCTGCTTTTCTCTATTTTTTGTGACTTTTTGGGTGTTGTTCTGGAATGTCTTTTGGCCTTCCATTTCCCATAATTTTATGGGTTTAATTAGAGGTTATGGTGGCTATTTGGCTGCCCATTTTTCTCCTATAAATACAAGGTGTTTTGTATGAATAAATGGATGTTATGATGTAATTTTTGAAGTTAAAACCTGCGGATTTCCTTGGAAAGGCTTGCGAGCTTGTTCCACTTCTTCCTCTCATTCTTGGGAAAGCTTGCGAGCTTGTCATCTATTCGTCTTGGGCTTCTTTCTCTTTCTTCTCTCCGCAAGTTCGACGCCACCTGTATCCTTCTTCTCGATGGATAAAAAGGTAGTTTTAGGTTTTTATTATATAAGTTTGTAAGTGTCATTTCAAGTTGTTAAAGTTATGATGTGTCTTTCGATTTAAAGTTGTAAGCCTCCTTTTATGCTATAAAAGATGTATTTTTGAGTATTCTATGTATTTTCTTATTATCCTAGGAAGAGTTTTTTTAGCTTGCAAAAATTAGAGGTTTTCCTAATTTTTTTATTGCTTTAATTTGGTATCAGAGCAAGTTAGCAAATCTTAGGTTTGTGTGAGTCTTGGTATCATGAGAGTTTTTGAGTTTTTTGTTATTGTAAGTCTTCATATGTTTTGAGTCTAAATGGATAGTCCATGCAATCATTCTTCGGAAGCCTCATGTCAAGATTCGAATGAGTCCCAAGGAGAATTTGACCCTGCCAAATTTAAAAATCAACCACCTATTCAGGATGTGAAGATTCCAATTTTAGAAGGGATTCCATCACAAGGCAATTCTACAAATCCTCTATAAAACGAGTTGTATAAAATTTAATATCAAATGTACTTGTGTTCGGAAAAATTCAAGAAGAGGAAGAAATTTCTGCAAGCCCAGTTTAGGCAAGAATGTGAGATGATCTAGAAAAAATATGCAGCTATGATTCAAGAGCTAGATGCAACGCCATTAGAGCATACTCGAGCATCATCAGGACATTAGCTCTTTCAACCAGGGGAGAATTGATGTATGCAAAGGGGGGTTAAAATATTTTGGGTTTTTAGATTTTGATGAGCTTCTATGACCTCTGTTAAATTCAGCTCATTAATGCCTTTAGGACTACTTTTTAAGCTCATCAATTATGTATTTATATTGGTTCATCCCCCCCCTCCTCTCTAAAGGCTCTTAGGTTTCCCCACCTAACTCCTCTTCCCCTTTCCTTGGCCTTTCGGTTTCTTCCCTGGCTCCCCCATCCTGTGGCTGGTTCCTCCCCTCTCATAGCTGCATGTTCCGTTCCCTTGTAAAGCTCGTTCCTTCCCTAGCTGCTGTCCCGATTTTCTTGGCTGCTGTCCCGGTTCCTTGGGCTGCTTGCCTGGTACCCCTGGCTGCTTTTTCGGTTCCCTATGCTGCCCCTTCGGTTCCTCCCCTTGTTGCCTGTCTCGTGGCTACTTTTCTCTGTTTTTTTTGTGACTTTTCGGGTGCTGTTCTGGAATGTCTTTTAGCCTTCCCTTTCCCATAATTTAATGGATTTAATTAAAGGTTATGGTGGCTGTTTGGTTGCCCATTTTTCTCCTATAAATATAAGGTGTTTTGTATGATTAAATGGATGTTATGATGTAATTTTTGAAGTCAAAACCTGCGGGTTTCCTTGGAAAGGCTTGCGAGCTTCCTCTACTTCTTGGGAAAGCTTGCGAGCTTGTCATAATTTCCTCTTGGGCTTCTTCCTCTTTCTTCTCTCTGCAAATTCAACACCACCTATATCCTTCTTCTCGATGGATAAAAAAGCAGTTTTAGATTTTTATTATATAAGTTTGTAAGTGTCATTTCAAGTTGTTAAAGTTATGATGTGTATTTCGATTTAAAGTTGAAAGCCTCCTTTTATGCTATAAAAGGTGTATTTTTGAGTATTTTATGTATTTTTTATTATCCTAGGAAGAGTTTCTTTAGCTTGCAAAAATTAGGGGCTTTCCTAATTTTTTGCTTGCATAAAAAAGAAACTGCCCAAGTTTGGTTGTTGTGATTGTTTCCCTAGGATTAGGGTCCTTAATTTAACTTAATGCTTGTGAATAGATCAACGTTTTAAAAGGCGAAATTGAGAATCGAGGCGTTTTGGCTAAGCGAGGCGGGGCGTAAGCCTCGAGGCGGATCGAGTTGTAAGCCTAAAAAATGATAAAAATAAAGTAATTTTAAATTATGAATAATGACAAAAAATAACAAAATATTATGTCAATTGTGAATTTGATGATTTGTTCTAAGAAATATTAGTATATTACTGGAAAAGAAGATTTAAAATAAACTCACTTAAAAGTAAAACATCCATTTAAGATCAAGACCCAATATAGACTCCTCATCACTTTGATTGTCTTCAGAAAAATGTTCATAATTAATGTAAAAGTCATTCTCAAACTCTTCTTCATCTATAATATTTTTTCCTTTATCCCCTATATTAGTTAATATTTCATTAGCTCTAGAATGAAATAATAATAACATAAAAAATAATTTATTATATTTAAGAATACCTTTGAATTTTTTTGAAGCTCCAATCTCACTTTATTTTTCTTTTATATATATGAGTAGTTGCTTCATTGTCTTCATTGACATGAGTTTCTCCTTATGCTTCAACTTTAGAAACATCAACATTCTTAGGAGTTAGGAGTAATCCATTCATCATCAGATTGTAAATCATAAACAAGTAAAGGGTCAATTTCATTATCAATGCTTCTTTGCTTCTGTAATTTGAGATGTCTATCTTTCAGTTTTTTATTAAAGATAACATAAACTAGTTTGTTCATTCGATTTGTCGCCAATCGATTTTTTCTCTTAGTATGAATTTGATTGAATATGCTCCAATTAAGCTCGCATGCAGAAGCCGAACATGTTAGGCTAAAAACTTTAACTGCAAAAGCTTTCAATTCAGGAACATCATCTCCAAACTGACTCCACCAACGCTCTACATGAAAATGAATAATATTTTATGAATATTGATTGAAGTAGAAAACTTGAACATAAATATTAAAATTAAAATTATAAATATACAAATTATAAACATACTAGGAGATTGTATTTTGTAACATGCATGGGCTGCTCTAAATTCAAACATTTCCTTCTTCAAATGAAATTCGTCAAGTTGATCATTCACTTTGAGGTAGTCTTCTTCAGAAATGAGTATGTCCATACATGCATACAAACCAGTTTTCATCTCTTTTTCAACATGAAAGTCCTTATCATAATGAAATTGAGGGTTTAAATAGTATGCACCGCTTAGTACCGAGCATATACTTGCTTGGTACTGAGCGGTACTAGCTCGGTACCGAGTATGTACTGAGCGGTACCGAGCATGTACTGAGCGGTATCGAGCATGTCGGTACCGAGCATGTACATAGCGATACCTAGCAATATCGAGCATGTACTGAGCGGGCGAATGAAAGAAAGCCGAATCAGGAGTTATTCAAGCTTTCGTTACTGCACGTCAAAGTTAAGGCCCACAACACCGCTCACCTGCTCTTTCAACCTAGCCGAGGCCTGAACGTTTCCTGCACTCACAAGTCATAACTTCGGCTTTGTTTCATGCTTTCTAAATCGTTATTGCTTGCTTCGTTTCTTGCGTTGTCTCCTGCACTCACGGCTTCGTCTCTTTCCCTCACAGTTTCGCCTCCAGTTTGCCTTTCAATTCTCACAGTAAGCCCTAATCCTATACACGAATACGCGAGCACAAATCGGCTGCGTCATATTTACATATATACCGAAGAAAAAATTTTGAGGCAGTGCCTCGTACTGCCTCGAGGCGTTACGCTCTGATGCGTACGCCTCGTGCGAAAAAAATCGTAGGCTTCGCTGGATGGTTCGAGGCGTAAGCCTTGATACGCATGACTTCCGCCTCGACTTGAGGCACGACTCAATGCGGACGCCTCGTCCGCTTTTT